ACCTAAGGAGTTTGACTACAATCATGAAAACATGGGAAATAAATAATCTCAGACCAGCAAAATCAATAGAAGGGAAATGCACATACACACACACACACACACACACACACACACACACACACACACAAAACAACAACAACAAAGGAATAGATAATCATTGGTCATTGATATCTCTCATTATCAGTATATTCAATTCTCTAATGAAAAGACACAGACTAACAGGATGGATGCAAAAATGGGACCCATCTTTCTGCTGCAACCAAGAAACACACCTCAATATCAAGGACAGACACTACCTCAAGGTAAAGCAAATGAACCCAACAAGGAAGCTGGTATAGCCTCTGTAATATCTAACAAAAAAGACTTCAAACGAAAACTAATCCACCAAGGGAAAAAAATCTACCAAGAGAACATTTCAATTCTTATCATCTATGCCCAAACACACGGACACCTAAGATTTTAAAAGAAACACTACTATATCTTAAATCACATATTGACCCTCACATAATGATAGTGGGAGACTTCAATACTCTACTCTCACCAATAGACAAATCACCCAGACAAAAACTAAGTAAAGAAATGCTGGAGCTAACTAATGTTATAAACCAAATGGACATAACATGCTTATAGAACATTTCACTCAAACACTAAAGAATATACCTTCTATTCTGCACTTCATGGAACTTTCTCCAAAATTGATCATATATTCAGACACAAAGCAAGTCTGAACAGACACAAGAATTGAAATAACTATTCATCCTATCAGACCACCATGCATTAAAGCTGGATGGATATCAACAACAGAAAGAACAGAAACCTACAAATTCATGGAAACCGAATAACCCTACTGAATGAAAAATGGGTCAAGACTGCAATGAAAGACTTTCAAGAATTGAATGAAAATTATACAGAGCATATCCAAACTCTGTAAAAAGAAGAGACAGAAAGAGTATAAGAGCCAGAGGGGATTGGAGGACACCAGGAGAACAAAGCCTTTTAAACCAACTGAGCAAAGCTCATATATACTCAGAGACTAACGCGGCAAGCATGGGGCCTACTCAGGTCTGTACCAGGTCCTCTCAGCAGGTATCATACCTTCCAGTCTTGTATTTTTATGGGACTCCTGAGTATGGGAACAAGAGAGTCTCTGATTCTTGCTCCTTCTCTTGGGGCTCTTTTCTTACTTTTGGTTTGCCTTGTCCAACTTTGATGTGGTGGCTTTTGTTTTATTTTACGTGCTTTATTTTGTTATTTTTGTTGTCGTCTCTTACAAGCCTATTCTTTTCTCATGAGGAACAGAAAGTGAGTGGATCCATATGGGAGGCGAGGAAGGGGAAAGGGGGAGAGCAGGAGAGGTGCAAGTGGTAGAGGAAAGGCAAACTCTAAATAGGATACATTTATATGAGAAAAGAGTCTATTTTTCAATAACAGCAGGATGTCTTTGTTAGATATAGCACTGTTGGTTGACAGCTATTTACTTCCAGGGTTTGAAGTGTATCATCCCATGGTTTTCTGTCTTCGGAGGTCGGTGATGAGAAAAATGTTGCTATTCTTATGTCTCTGTCTTGTATAGATGAGTTGGCATTTTGCTCTCACAGCTTTTAATGTTTCTTTACTTTGTATTTTTGACATCCTAATATAATATGTTATGGGGAGGTTTTTCTCTGGTCTTGTCTATTTGGATTTATAAATCCTCTTACATTTGAATGTCTGCTTATATCTCTAGATTTGAGAAAATTTCTGTTGTTCTTTTGTTTAACATAGTCTTCATGACTTTGGTGTTTGTGTCAGCTCCTTCTACCCTGTGGCTATCAGATGTGGTCTTTTGACAGTAACTCCAATTTCATGGATATTGTAGTCATGCTAGTTTATTTATTTTTCTTTATTGTTGTTAGAATGTAGCATTTTATAAATCCCCTCCATCCCTGATATTTTTTTTCCAATGCTTATATGGACCACTGGTGATGCTATCTACTCTGTCTTTTACTTGGTTCATTAAATTTTTCATTTTCAGCATTTTTATTTTTTTCCATTGAATCTTGTCTGGTTCTGGAATTTTCTCTGAAAGGAGGAGGATTTTTAATAACAGCTTCAATCTCATTGCTTGTAGTGAGTCTGTTTAAGTTGTTTATATCTTCAAGGCTTAGCTTTTGTAGGTGATATGCACATAGAAATTCTTCCATATTTTCTGGTTTAGCCAGCTTTCTGGCATATAAATTCTAATAGCAATGTCTACAGATGTTCTGTATTCTTTGGAGCCAGTTATAATGACACTCCCTTTTTCTAAATTATTTATTATAAATATTTTATATACAAGTGTCTGGTGTCCACCAGAGTTGAGTTGTCATTACAGTGGAAGCGTTACTTCTCCATATAACAGGAGCCTCTACTGGCAGTGCTTAGCTTTGCATTGCATGGTCTTGCATACTGTCTCCTAATTCTCCCCAGATTGTGGGGTCTGGCTAAGATTTTAGCTGGGATGTCTCCCAAGTGTATTAAAAGTATGAAAAGCAAACAGCACAGAAATTGATATGGCTAAAGGATCTCTAAGAAACATAGCTCACATCCTAGGCTTTTCTCTCCCCTGCTGTCTCAACTTCTCACCGAAACCTGCAACTGCACTTGAAGCTCGTGAGGACTGTGCTTTGTCCCAAGCATAGGATCATTTACCTTTTGGAAACTGCTTCTATTTCCCCTTCCCTGGTTGTGGAACTCTATGGCTGAGGTTGTACTCAGGTTACTTTTACATCTTCTCTTTGTTTTTGCTTTTTCAGGAATCCTTTTACTTCCTTCTTGGATTCCCAAGGCTCTTCCTCTATTTCTCTCTTTGAGATAAAGTTTATTATTTCAAATTGTGACTCCTTCCTGCCTCACACAGATTCAGCCTGTATGTAATCAGCCATCTTACCCAAAAGTCCAGCTGAATTCAGCATTGGGGATGTCATTGTACTGTCTTCTCACTCCCATTATTGTCAGGCCTGTGTTTCCTTAAAGGAGATACATTTTTTTATATATGTTAGCTTTACTAATTGGCTTTTGTTTTAATCTTATGAAATCTCATCCTGATGAAGTTATGAGTGCATTTCTTTTGTCTAATCCAAAATCCTTGTACCTGTGCCCATGACTCTCCAGAAATGGCTTATTTTCGTCTTCCTCTCTCCCCTCCTGTTTGCATAGTTTTCATAGACTAGAGAAGAAAATGGCTTCAGGGCTCTGAGCATGTTCCCTCCCAGCCCAAGGCATGCCCAGAACCCCCAACTCTTTTTTTTGTGTGTTGATTTGATCGTGTTACTAACCATGGTTGTGGGCTATAAACACAGAAGGTGTGGTGGTATCTCTATATAGTCCTTGCTGCCTTAGAACTCACCATGTAGACCAGGCTGAGCTCAAACTCACAGAGATCTACCTGCCTCCACTTCATGAGTGCTGGAATTAAAGTCATATACCACCGCTCTCGGTGGCATAGCAATTTTAATGTTCTTCTCTTTCAGATCTTAAATCCATAGGTTGGAGTAAAGTTTCTCTATTTCTGACAAGATGCCAGATGATGCCAAAACATCACCAATAGTCTTCACTTCAGTGTGTGCACAATTAGGAATGCTGAAATATTTATTTTGAATATTTATCATTTGAATACAAATATTTTCCCTTTGAACACTGAACTACTGACTTAATTGGGAGATGACTCCAGGAAATGCAGTGCATACTAGTTACTTTTACAGGTAACTGGCTGGGGGGGGGCAAGTAGGGGCCCCCTGAGAAGCCTGAACATTGCCCCACCAGGGCACAGAGAGACTGAAACCTTATTCTTTAACTCATCAGTAGCATTTGTCCCTGAGATGGAAGCCAATGAGATATGAAGGTGACATGTGCCAGGCCTGTTGGAGTCAGACTGTGAACTCAGAATTGGGACAAAGCATCAAAATCATTGCCTCGGTTTCCTTTAGGAAAGACCTAGTGACAGTCACTGTTGTCTCCGACCATCTGACAACTATGCTTTGAAGGACTCTAACAGGCCCAAACATGACAAAGGTGGCATAGTCAGGCCCTGCCACCCCACCCCTCCCCCACTTCCTTCTCTCTTGCTAAACCATTAGATTCCCTTATTTAGGCAATTCTGCATTCCTAAAGCTGGCCATCAAAGTCCATTCCCTTATTTGGCCACTTCCTTATGCCTGCCTCCTTCCAGCTATCGGAATTTCCTATTTAGCTACACTGACCACCATGCTCAATCAGAACCTAACAACTCTTCCTAGCTCATCTTAACACAGACCTTCCCTTTTTCCTGTTTAAAAAATCACCCTTGCAGAACCATTTACTACTGTTTCCATCATCTGCCTTGTCAACTTGTCTTGCTTAATAAAGAATCTCTTTGTATTGGGAATCGGTATTTGGGTGTGGTCTGTGCCTAATCCGGGGTCTGGAAGGGAGCATCCCAAGAAGTGCAGGTTCCTTCAGGCTTCCTTATCCTATAACAAGGTAATGACTTAAATATGCTGAGGTGTGGGCAGGCAGTCCAGGAGCTGGCAATGCTTTGGGTAAAGTGTGTTGGTGGAGAAGCAGCATGCATGTGGGCTGGGAGAAAGTGGAGCACCCCCTCCTGTCAGCCAAGGTGACTTGTACCAGGTTAGAAGCTACATAGGACTTAGGACATGGTCTTCTCCCCACTGACCCTTGCACTTGCTACAGGCTCCTACTGTATGAGCAATATTCTAGTACCTCATGTTATATCTCCTAGTCCAGTCATCCACCCTGGGGAAATCCCATGTTTCTTTCCTCAGTCTGTCAGAATCTGTAACTGTATTTCCTGCTTGTCGCTCAGCATGCCCTCCCATTCCAAGGCACTCTGATAAGTCACAAACGTGCTGACATTGACATTTACTCCAAATAAATACTTAGCAAGTCCTCCAGCACAAGGAACCAACAATTATCTAGGGTGCCGGGCAGTCCCAGATCCACTGAGGCAGAACTTCCTTCCTTCATGTTGTGGATAAAAAGGCATGGGCCCCAGCGAGCCTGTCAGAGAAGCTGAGCACAGTAGGAACTTCAGTTCCTTCCACAGTTGGTAGGCATCAGTACAGCAGCAGCCATAGAACTGTGGTGGGCAGACACAGTTCCTCTGAAATCAGGTTAGAGAGGCAGCCTCTGGCTTTCAGTCACCCTGATCCCTTGATGTTTTAACCCTGGCCTTGGTACTCTTGGTCCTCCCAGACCTCAGGCCTGCATGGAAGTTTAGAGTAGCTTCTTCTCTTAGGAAATAAGCTGAGTGAGTCTAAGGATGTAGAGGAATCTTGGTGAGACTTGGGTTAGGAGAGTGTGACTGGCTGTTAGGCTGATCAGCAGTTCCTCTGACCTGGGGTCAACCTGGAATTTAGGATTAACTCTGTTTCTCCCCTAGGATCAGTCTACACTTATATGACACTGGAGCTAGGTTGGAAGTTCAGAAACAACGTCACCATAATGGATAAGGGCAAACGTAAATATCTTTATAGAAGACTGGAAAGTGGGAGTGGGGGAGGGGTCTGTGCCTTCGTCCTTACATATCCGCATTTTTAATTTCTTTACAGAACTAAGCACAGTAACACCATGGCTAAGACATGTTCAGGACCTTAGTAGTCGTGTGTGGGTTCTTCATAACGATATCCTCACTGTAGTTCCTAGGAAAGAACAGACGGTTCCAGGTGAGTAGCCCAGGCCCTTTGAGGCAGCCCCTCTGGCTAATGTTGTGGGTCTGTCCTGAGTCTTTCATTTCACATGTGTTAGCTGCCCTTACCAGGGATAGAATTCCATGGGCAGTTTAGAATAGAGGGTCATCATAGGCTTGGATACCTGTGGGATGGGTCCAGGGGGGAGTGGGAGGTTGAGGAAATGGAAAACTTTTTATTTGAGAAGTTTCAGAGTCAAATAACAGAGAAAGCTCTATGAGATTAATCTTTGAATCTATGAGAGGCTGACTTCTCTAATGGAAATAGTCACCCAAATTCGATGCCTATATGAGCCAGGTGATGAGTGACAGGTGACATGAAGGAGATTCCAGCCACTGTTTCTTTGTCTCTAGTTTAGTGTTGCTTTGGAAGTATGAACTGAACCCCTCTTTCTGCCCTTGCATTCCCAGTCACTGTCACCTTACTCCCATACCAATATCCAGAGATTCTTGAGAAGGACAGGGGGGATCCCATGTATATGGGACTGAGAGAGCCTCAGTGCTGCCTGGTCTGCACAAGACAAGGAGAGCAGCCGGTGCTGCACCTTAAGGTGAGTTCAGGAAGGAAGGGTCTGCTCTTGATTGGCCATGGGTGAGGAGCCCATCTGGCCCATAAGGCTCCCACTTGACAGAAACCCTGATTTCCAAATCTTTTAAAGGGCAACTCACAGATTGTCCTCATACCAATTTATTGTTCCCCTAAGGGTGCATGCAGCACCAAAGAATAAGAAAAAAAATGTAACAGTATTTGAAAGTAGCTTTCCAAAATAACTTTTTGTTTTATTTACAAAAGTAAGTTTTGTCAAGGAAGAAGGTTTTTAAGAGTTGTGTGTGTGTGTGTGTGTGTGTGTGTGTGTGTATGCATGTGCCTGTGTAGCATGTATATATGCATGTGTGTATGCATGTGCATGTGTATGCATGTGTGCATATGCATGTGTGTGTTCATTTGCAGGACCATGTGTATGTGTGTGCACATGTGGATATAGGTCAGAAGTTGACACTGGATATCTTCCTTTGCCCCTCCCCACATTATTGTTGTTGTTGTTGTTGTTGTTGACTTTTTGAAACAGGGTTTCTCTGTGAAATAGTCCTGGGTGGCCTAGAACTTACTTTGTAGACCAGGCTGGGCTTGAACTCAGAGATCCACCCAACTCTGCCTCCTAAGTGCTGGAATTAAAGGTGTGTGCCACCACCATCCCTACATTATTTTTAAGACAGGATTTCACTAAATCTGGAACTCACCAACAAGGCTAGGCTGGCTGAGGGGGGATGAGGAGGATGACTGTAACACATAGACATTGAGGAGCCTGCTTCTCATCTCAGCACTGGGGATACACAGAGAGAATTGTCTCAAAATATTAGAAATACCAAACTACAGACAACCAAACAAAACTGAAATTTGTGTCCTAATGTTTCTACTGTACTCTTAACACGTATTTAGGGTGTAGTAAGAAACAGAAGTCTCCAGGCCTGCCTTAACAGATGGGGACTGGTTTTAGAGACAAGTGAACGGTTGAGGTGGTGATGTTGATTCCTGGGTTCTCTTCACCCACCAGAAAGGAAATGTACTGGAACTGTACCGCCAAAGGGAGCCTGTAAAACCCTCCCTCTTCTATCACAACAAGAGTGGCACAACCTCAACATTTGAGTCTGCAGCCTTCCCTGGTTGGTTCATTGCTGTCTGCTCCAAAGGAAGTTGTCCACTTTTTCTGACCCAAGAACTGGGGAAAACCCACATCACTGACTTTGAGATGACTATGGTGCATTAAGGTCAGTCTTATAATGTCAGTCTTTACCACGCAGAGAACCCTGCCTTTGCCTCAAGGCTCTTTCTCCTTTCATGAACAATGTCATCCTGGCCCATCTTCTACACAGAGGCAGGTTTGCTCATGCTATGCTGGTTTGTTTTCATCAACCTACAACAAGCTAGGCTCGGCTGGGAAGGAAAAAAAATCAGTTGAGAAAATGCCTCCATTACATTGCTTTATCAGCAAGTCTGTGGGGCATGTCTTGATTAGTGATTGATGTGGGAGGGGCCCAGACTACTGTGGTTGATGCCACACCTGGGTGGGGGGTCCAGGGGTATATAAGAAAGCAAGCTGAGCAAGCCACATAGAGAAAGCAGCTTTCCTCTATGGTCCCTGCTTCGATTCCAGACTCCAGGTACCTGTCCTAAGTTCTTGCTTTGACTTTCTCAGTGATGGACTGGTACCTGGTACCTGGAAGTGTAAAATGAAATAAACCTTTTCCTTGCCAAATTGTTTTTGGTAAATGTTTTATCATGACAACAAAGACACAAACTAACACACATATCCAAGTACAGGTTAAAAGGTGATAGAGTCTGAGCCTAGAATATGAAGAAAGAATCTGTTGCTGGGTTTTTCACTCAAGGTTGATCTAAATGCTGGTGTACATTTTTTGGGGAAATGGCAGAGGTATATTGGGTGTCTTTGCCATAGTGGTATCGTTAAATCATAACACCATCACAAAACTGACAAAGTGAGCTCTAGCTATGTAATATATAAATAGTATATATAAATATAATATATCTGTTATATAGCTGCTAATATGTAAACTAAGAAATGTGAATGGTGACCACCTGTGTCCATGCTTCTGGGTTTTCAGACACATTGTTCTGTGGCACTCTCTCAAGATCTCTCAGATCCTGACAAGAAGAAGCAACCATATACACCCAACAAAGTAAAAGACTGAAAAGAAAGCTGAGCCCTTCAGTGGCTGGCTTCCCTCTCTGTGACAGCTGAATCAGATGCAGAACATCTTACCATGTTTTCATCCATAGCATTACTGCTGGATTTTATAAAGAGTGAACTTTGTGGAATAAAATCATTTATCTCACTTGCTTTGTTGAATACAGTCATTTTAGTGCAATAAAATAGCCATGTTATTTCTGCATTTATAAGAAGTTATAGTTTGTAAATCAGGTTGACATGAAGTTTCTCTCTCTCTCTCTCTCTTTTCCTTGGGTGTATGAGTGTGTATGTATGTATGTACATATGTATGTACACATGTGCATGTATGTGCATGTGAAGGCCAGAAGTTGTTGCTAGGTGTCTTCCCTAATCATCCCCACCTTTTATGTTGAAGTAGGCTCTTTCATTTGCCAGTTCAGCTAGTGCAGCCAGCCAGATTGCTCATGAAGAACTCCCTTGTTAATCTGCCTTCCAGCTATTGCTGCTTCCCTTACACTCCCTATCTCTACCTTCAGAGGGCAGGAATTACAAATGGGACAACTTGACACAAGTAAGGGTTATCTGAGAAGAAACTTCAGTTGAGAAAATGCCCCCCAATAGATTGCTAAGTTTTTAAAGCATCTTCTTGATTAATGACAATGTGGGGGAAGGGGTCCAATCCTCTCTAGGAAGTATCACCTTTGTGCTGGTGATTCTATGCTGTATAAGAAAGCCATGAGGAGCAGGTCTGTAAGCAACACCCCTCCATGGTCTCTGTTTCAGTGTGCCTCCAGGTTCCTGACCTGCTTGGTTCTTGCCTTGGCTTCCATGGTGATTTGAATGAGAATGTCCCCATAGACCCATATATTTGCATGCTTAGTCCCTTGTTGGTGAACTGTTTGGAAAGATTAGGAGGTGTGGCTTTGTTGGAGTAGGTGTGTCCTTGTTGGAGGAGGTATGTTGCTAGAGATAGGGTTTGAGATTTCAAATACCTACACCAGGCCCAGTGTCACTCTTTCTGCCTGCTACCGGAGGATCTGAGAGGATATAAAGCTGTCAGTTACTGCTCTAGAGCCATATCTCTCTGTTTTCCACCATGATAATAATGGACTAATCCTCTGAAACTGGAAACAGGTACCCAATTAAATGATTTTCTTAGTAAATGTCACCTTGGTCATGATGTCTTTTCACAGTAATACAACAGTAACCAAGATAGTTTCCCTCAGTAATAGCCTATGACCAGAATATATAAACAAATAAATCTTTTCCAGATTAAAGGTGTGAGCCACCACTGCCTGGCCATAATCTTTATAAGAGCAATAGACAGCAAACTAACTCAGCCACCATGCCTGCCCAGCCCTTACATGTGTAAGGATTTGAACTCTGGTTCTCACACTCAAGCAGCAACTACTTTACCCTCTATTCCTTCTCCTTAGTCCCAAGTCTCTTTTAGAACTAGCAAGATTCCTTAGGAAGGTGGTCTTTTCTAAAACCAGGTTCTTCAAGGCCCAAATATAGGGTGGCTAGGCAAACAGGGCTCCATTAATAAAAATTGTATTCTATATTTCAATGCATGATGTAGATAAATAACTGACTGAAAATCTCCAGCCCCACCCTGGAATGAGTTTCTGTAAGCATCTTGTGAGTTTTTCCTTCAAACTCATCAACCATAAACTAACTTGGCTTTTGTGTATGGTGAGCATATTCGTTTTTGAAGATTTATCCTTTTCTATACTGTGACAGCCACAGTGGTTCAGCAGTGGCAGACAAGCTGTGAGGCAGCAGCGCAGGTGCCTGAAGGATGGTTTGACCCAGATGGCGGGGCCACAAGGGCCAGCTCTGTAGGGCCAGGTCTGCTGGGTTTCTGTCCTATACTGAGCCCAGGGGGTAGGAGATACTTCTGCATCTTTTGTGTGCTTTCCTGTGCTGTTTCGGTCAGGTTAGACGACAGCATCAGTCCGTTTGAAGCCACATGGAGGGTGGCTCTCCATTCCTTTAGACGTCCAGTCCTGGGAGTGATGTTCCCATACCCCTCAGGACCCTGACCTTTCCTTCAGACTCATACTAAAATTTCTCACACAATGGGTATTTCCGCCCCTCGCACCTGCTCCTTCCTCGTTTCTACACCCTCTTTCTGAGCTTCCTGACTCCGACATCCCTCTCTGAGGGCAACCTTTTGAGAAATCTTCGTAGAGTAATGAATCGGAGTCGAGGAGTTTACAAAGTTGGGGCTTGAAAGACAGGAAGGTACCATAGCTTCCTCGTTTGGCAACTATGATGCTCTCACTATTCCTGGAGCTGCTATAAATAAGATGATCAAAGAGACTCTCCCTAACGTCCTGGTGGCCAGCAATTCCCAAGAGCTGGTAGTGAACTGTTGCACCGAATTCATTCACCTTATATCTTCGGAAGCCAATGAGGTTTGCAACAAGTCGAAAAAGAAGACAATTTCACCAGAACATGTCATACAAGCACTAGAAAGTTTAGGCTTTTGGCTCTTACATCAGTGAAGTAAAAGAAGTCTTACAAGAATGCAATATAGTAGCACCAAAAAGAAGGCCAGTTCTCGTTTGGAAAGCCTTGGCATTCCTGAAGAAGAATTGTTGAGACAACAGGAATTATTTGCAAAAGCTAGACAGCAGCAAGCAGAATTGGCCCAACAGGCATGAATGGCTTCAAACGAAGCAAGCCGCCCAACAAGCCCAGCTTGCTGCAGCCTCAACCAAACCAATCTGTTTTCAGTGGCCTAATGGGCTGGATCCCACAGGGGTCACCCATCTTAAGAAGTGTAGTTTAGCCCGTTTTCATTGCCCTGAAGAGGCTGAATCCCACATGGGTCACCCATCTTGGTGTCTTAAGTGACTCCTTCTTGGGCCAAAAATCTGGACCAGCCCAACAAATATGATCTGTTAGTCAAGATTTTCCCATGACTGCTTTCCTACCTTGATTGTCTACTCTAACAGGTCTTTCGTGACAGACTATCTTTCTTTTTGGACTGCCAGCCCCCAAATATTGACATGGAAACATATTATTAATTATGAAAGCTTGGCCTTATAACTTAAATTAACCTGTGTCTATTAACCTATGTTCTACCATGAAGCTTTTTACTTCTCCTCCATTCTGTATATCCAACTCCCTCTATGTCTTGCTGGCATCACTCTTTTCTTCTTCTTCTTCTTCTTCTTCTTCTTCTTCTTCTTCTTCTTCTTCTTCTTCTTCTTCTTCTTCTTCTTCTTCTTCTTCTTCTTCTTTATGTGGCCTCTCCCTCCCAGGCAGTCCAATTAACTTTCCCATATGGTATGCTCCAGGACATGTGCTCTTTGGAGTAGACTGAGGGCCTCAAGGTTTCTTGAGGTCTGAGCTCTGATTTCCAGTTTCGAATTTGTCTTGTCCTCTGAATGGCCAAAGTGTGTCACTAAGTGGAGGAATGCAAATAGTCTTGGTGAAAGAAGCTAGGGAGGTGGCGGCCTTGTCCATGTGTTTCAGCGTCTCATGGTGGCCTCCTTAACTACCGCTGACCTGGGAGGTGCTGTCTACTCCCTTCTTCTGGGCTTTGAAGTGGTCTTGGATCCTGGATCAGGTTTGTTTGTTGTTGCCACAGGAAGCAAGCTGGTAACAGACATTTCCAGGCCTCACCTGTCCTTCAAGATCCAGATGGCATTTGTGGATCGTCAACGTAGGTGTTGTGATTCTTTTATTTTTTATTTTTGGTTTTTTGAGACAGGGTGTCTCTGTATTGCTGTCCTGGAACTGGCTCTGTAGACCAGGCTGTCCTCGAATTCACAGAGAACTGCCTGCCTCTGCCTCCCGAGTGCTGGGATTAGAGGCGTGTGCTACCAATGCCCGACTAGGTATTGTGATTCTTTATATATATATATATATATATATATATATATATATATATACATACATATACATATATATATATGTATATGTATGTATATATATATATATATATATATATGTATATATATATATAATTTTTTTATTTAATTTTATATAACAAAGTCCAATTAAATGAAAACAAACATTTATACACAATATTTGGGAATTTGGGCGTCGTTCTTTCCAAACTACTTCCTGCTGGTAAGGGGCGCTGTCTTGGGGGATTCGAAGAAGATTCAGATATCCTAGCTGTAGTCTGTAGGGCTGTTTTGTCCAGCTGTTTGGAATGTAGGATCCTTGCTGGCATCACTCTTGTGTGCCTAAATTCAACAGGAATTCATTTCTTTGCCCAGAAGTCCTGCCTTATCTCTCCTGCCCAGATATTGGCCATCCAGCTTTTTATTAAATCAATCACAGTGACACATCTTCACACAGTGTAAACTAATATCACACAACAGTCTACTGTATTTAAACCAAGATTTTACATTTTTAAAATTCATGTTTTTGTTACTGTCATAAAATTGTTATCATTCAATATAGACTATATAAAACATACAAGTTTTAGGTGAACAGAGCCTTATTGTAAGCCTTTCCCCAAAAACTTTCATTTTTGAAGCCCTCCTACTTTAGAGCCAAACTCCTAGAGCCACAAATAACACTTCCTATAGAAAGCGGGCATTAACTGGTTCAACCAACTTGATTTCTGTGTTGCTATTGATATTTAAAATGTCAAACTATAACAAAGTTATAGACATCAGAATTAATCTGTTAGAGCTACCTGTATTTCATATCACTGATCCTGATGACTATTTTTCTCTTATACATATGGCTAGGTGTCATAGCACAGAATTCACCACACCTACCAGACATAAAAACTCTAATTAATGAACTCAAATTCCAAATGTTAAATGCCCAGGAATTAATGGTTCCTAGAAGCCCTGTGGCCTTTTGTCTGACTAGGAGTAACTTTGACTCCAGTAACTCCTATTAGAGATAAAACAAAAATTTTGAGTTGACTCTTTTTATCCAAATTATACCAAAACAAATCATCAGTCTTCATTGAAAACAGCATTCAGGGTACTTTTTAAAATTCAGAGAAGTCTGGAGTTTCACAGATGCTTCATGTCAATTCCATACTCCATTGAAATACT